TTCCCAAACTAACACAGTTCTAACTACCACCCATCTCCTGATTCCAAGTCAGTGCTCTTGCTTATTTCTAAAAAGCAGTAAGAGGGTAGCCAACACTCCTGCTTAGATAGCTGAAGCCCAGTATTTCCTAGATACAGTTAATGAATAACCTAGATATCTTTCCCAGGTACTTGGCTCTTCACATTCCACTTTTGAAGGAGCAATTGATAATCATAGTTGCATTACCTATATCTTGAGATATCCATTTGCATAAACACAATAACATGAAGGTGTGTTATAAAAAAATATTAAATGTCACTCAGAACTGATTTTGGTTTCTAAATTACATTCTCCAGTAAAAGAAACAAGGGCTCCTTGGATTGGTTCCAGGGTGGGAACAGGGAAAATACAATATGACTGTGGAGCAACCCTGTAGTGCTAGAATGCAACCAAACCAGTTGCCATGGAGTCGATTCTGACTTATGGACACCCCGTATGTGTCAAAATAGAACTGTGTTCCATAGGGTTTTCGATGGTTAATTTTTCAGAAGAAGATCACCAGACCTTTTTTCCAAAGTACCTCTGAGTAGATTCGAACTGCCAACCTTTTGGTTAGCAGCCAAGTGTGTTACCTTTTGCACCAACTAAAGACTCTGCAAGAATGCAAAGAAGTGCTTAAAAAAACAAAAGGATGAAGGCATGTCAAAGGGACACTGGAACCAACTGGAAACAACCCCCAGCAGTCAAAGTTGGAACAATTTGAGCAACAAAATAAATAACACTGGCGTATAAACCAAAGTTAAATATATATGAGTTCATACTGATATAAATAAATGATTGAATAAATAAATTCAATGACAGAGAAGAAGCAAATCTTTCCTACAGAAGAATTGTAAATAAAATATGTAGATACTCTCCCCTCCAAGAGGTGGAGTTTAATTCTGCACATCTCCGCCTTTCAGGGTAAGCTAGACTTAGTGACTCATTTCAAAAGAATAGAATAGGGAAAAGGAAAGATAATCCTATAGAATAACTGGCCAGTACTCCTCAAGACTGTCAAGGCCATGAAAAACAAGACTAAGAGACTGTCACAGAGCAAAGGAGACATGCCGGTGATCATGAGCAACATGGGACTCTGAATTGGATCCTGGAACAGGAAAAGAACACGAATGGAAAAATGGTGAAATCCAAATAAGTCTGGAGTTTAGTTAATAGTCATGTACCAGAGTCAGTTTCTTAATGTTGACAATTGTACCATAATCATAGTGGCATTGCTTATATCATGAGATATCTATTTACGTTAATATAATAGCATAAAGGTGTGTGCCATCTGTATAAAGGTAAGGTGTTAACAATGGAAGAGATGCCCTGAGGGGTGCACGATAACTCTCCTGGCAACTTTTCTGTAAATCCTTGCAACTTTGCTATAAATCTAAAATTATTCCAAAATAAAAAGTGTATTAAAAAATATATTAAATGACGTCAAGAAATTCACAGTCATTTGAATTCTTTCCTGTGAAAAATATAAAATAATTTATCAGGAAAAGTTAATCCGCAGTTGCTGAACAAAAATAACAATTTAAATTGGAAAGTAAGTGAATTCTGTTTAGCTAAATAAAAGTTGTCCACCCCTGACTACTCTTGCCAAAGATGTTTTTGGAAATCCTGTTCTACCATGCAAAAAAAACAAACTCAGCTAACATTAAGCTGGGCAACAGAGAAGATAGGTATAATGAAAAATTCTTGCTGATACTCACTTTACCAGAGCAGAAACTTGCTCAGCTGGCTTTTGTGTTATTACGAACATATTTAAATTTCAGTGTTTGTATTATCACCTTAGGAAAATACAGCAGAATATCATAGAATTTTGATTGGCCTTAATAATATAGAGATACAAAATAGTTTGAACTACTGAAGCTTTCTCTGTTATAAAGCAACATGTTTACTATAAAACTAAAATATTGAGATAGGAATATTATGGCAGAGGAATTTCAACTTCTTTCTAAAAAAGGAGGAAAAGATTCCAAGAAGGCAGTGTTCATCCTATACTTTTTTTTTTTTTTAACTTCACGAAGAGAATTTCTATAGTAAGCCAAGTTTTTGTTTTTCCTCCATGGCTACTAATAAAAACTTAGCTGACTATAGAAGTCAGTCTGAAATTGACCAAGCATGCAATCAAGATGCATTCATAATTACTGGAGATTGGAATGTGAAAGTTGGAAACAAAGAGGGATCAGTAGTTGGAAAATATAGCCTTGGTGTTAGAAACGACACCAGAGGTCGCATGATAGAATTTTGCAAGACAAACTACTTTTTCATTGGAGATATCATTTTCAACAACATAAACAGTGACTATAGACATGGACCTCAGCAGATGTAATACACAAGAATCAAATCAACTCCATCTGTGGAAAGAGACAATGGAGAAGCTCAACATCATCGGTCAGAATGTGGCCAGGGGCCGGCTGAGGAACAGACTGTCAACTGCTCGTATGTAAGTTCAAGTTGAAGCTGAAGAAAATTAAAACAAGTTCATGAGAGCCAAAATACCACCTTGAGTATTTTCCACGTGAATTTAGAGACTGTCTCAAGAATAGATTTGACATAGTGAACACTAATGACTGAAGATCAGAGGAGTTATGGAATGATACCAAGGATATCATACATGAAGAAAGCAAAATGTCATTAAAAAGACAGGAAAGAAAAAAAAGACCAAAATTGACGTCAGAAGAGACATTGAAACTTGCTCTTGAACTTAGAGTAGCAAAGGGAAAGGAAGAAATAATTACATAAAAGAGCTGAAGGGAGGATTTCAAAGGGCAGCTCGAGAAGACAAAGTAATATATTATAAAGAAATGTGCAAAGACCTGGAGTTAGAAAACCAAAAGGGAAGAATGTATTTGGCATTTCTCAAGCTGAAAGAACTGAGGAAAAAATTTAAACCTTGGGTTGCAATATGGAAGGATTCTAAGGGCAAAATATTGAACAACGCAGGAAGCATCAAAAAAAAATGGAAGAAATACAGTCTTTGTAACAAAAAGAATCGGTCAATGTTCAACCATTTCAGTAGGTAACATACGATCAGTACTGAGAGTACTAAAGGAAGAAGTCCAAGCTGCACTGAAGGCACTGGAAAAAAACAAAGTTCCAGGAGTTGATGGGATACCAATTGAGATGTTTCAACAAAACCGATGCAGATCTGGAAGTGCTCATTTGTCTATGCCAAGAAATTTGGAATACAGCTACATGGCCAACTGACTGGAAGAGATCCATATTTGTGCCCATTCTGAAGAAAGGTGGTCCAATTGAAGGCAGAAATTATCAAACAGTATCATTAATATCCCAAGCAAGTAAAATTTTGCTGAAGATCATTCAAAAAGTGGTTGCAGCAGTACATCAACAGGGAACTGCCAGAAATTCAAGCCAGATTCAGAAGAGGATATGGAGCAAGGGATATCATTGCTGATGTCAGATGGATCTTGGCTGAAAGCAGAGAATACCAGAAAGATGTTTACCTGTGTTTTATTGACTACGCAAAGGCATTCAACGGTGTGGATCATGACAAATTATGCATAACATTGAGAAGAATGGGAATCCCAGAACACTTAATTATGCTCATGCAGAACCTGTACATTGACCAAGAGGCAGTCGTTTGAACAGAATTGGGAATACTGCACGGTTTAAAATTAGAAAATATGGGTATCAGGGTTGTATCTTTTCACCATACTTATTCAATCAGTGTGCTAAGTAAATAATCCTAGACGCCAGACTATATGAAGGAGAACGTGGCATCAGGATTAGAGGAAGACTCATTAACTACCTGTGATATGCAGATGACACAACCTTGCTTGCTGAAAGTGAAGAGGACTTGAAGCACTTAATGATGAAGATCAAAGACTCCAGACTTCAGTATGGATTACACCTCAACATAAAGAAAACAAAAATCCTCACAAATGGACCAATAAACAACACCATGATAAGCAAAGAAAAGATCAAAGTTGTCAAGGATCTCATTTTACTTGGATCCACAATCAACGCCCGTGGAAGCAGCAGTCAAGAAATCAAATGGCATATTGCATTGGGCAAATCTTCTGCAAAAGACCTCTTTAAAGTGTTAAAAAGCAAAGATGTCACTTTGAGGACTAAGGTGTATTGACCCAAGCCATGGCATTTTCAGTTGCCTCATGGGCTTGCAAAAGCTGGTCACTGAATAAGGAAGACCGAAGAAAAATTGATGCTTTTGAATTATGGTGTTGGTGAAGAATATTGAATATACCATGGACTGACAGAAGAATGAACAAATTTGTCTTGGAAAAAATACAGACAGAATGCCCCTTAAAGCAAGGATGGCAAGACTTTATCTCAAATACTTGGGACATGTTATCAGGAGGGACCAGTCTCTGGAGAAGGACGTGGTAAAGTGGAGGGTCAGTGAAAAAGAAGAAGACCCTCAACAAGATGGACTGACACAGTGGCTGCAACAGTGGGCTCAAACATAGTGATGACTGTATTGATGGCAAAGGACAGGGCAGTGTTTCATTCGGTTGTACACAGTGTCTCTGTGAGTCAGAACTGATGTGATGGCACCTAATAACAACAAGAATGATGGCTACTACAGTGATCCTTTCAAATGAGTATTTTCTTTCTTTTCAAATCCCTTACTAATTAATTAGCACACTACAAAAAAAGATAGTCTTCTACACATTTTCGTTTTCTCTGCAGAGATTTTTAGCTTCACAGTATAGTAACGACTTAACATTTCTGTGCCTTGCACAATAATCCACACTTTCTTAGGAATTACGACAGTGCAGCTTCCTCTCTGAATCTACTTCTGTTGCCTTGTCGCCAAGCCCTAAAGGGTAAAACTGTTTGAGGGAGTTCTACAGTGGGTGTGAGTTGCCATCTCTGGCTCTCTGGACTGGAAGTGCGCTGTCTACATACCACCAGCTGTGAAATTGCACAATAATCCATAATTAAACAAGCCAGGAGAGTAAACAGAAGTAGTTAGGTATGATTTGGTACAGGAGAACCACAACAAGGTGTCTTTTAAAGTTTTATTAGCCTAAAGCAAGAGAATACATAGTATAACTAGGTACATATGCTTAAATGGCTCCACAACCATGACTGCAAAGAGCTACTAGAGCTTTCTGGCCACTAAAGAAAACAGCTACAAGTATGGCTGATGGTACGTGCCGCTGATGTACTGTTATCACTTCCACGTGCCGGTAGCAATGAACATAGGAACTGTCCCCTTTCTACACGTTCTGTTTCAGGTATCCGTTCATTAGTCTTATGTAGACATCAGTTGTTTAGCTTGTGGAAAACACACCACTTTCCCCTTAGATGCACAGAAAATGATCATAGACAAGTACAAAAATTAAAAGCATACTGCATGATCAATTCTCTACCCACACCTGACTTCACTCAGATTATCGTTATTCATTTGGAGCAAGCACACAGCGTTCCGATGATTTTCAAGCCTTTTTTTTTCTTTCCATATCCAGGTAGTTACTTCTTTTCTTTAGCTAGTGCTGAGGCGGATGCTGGTATGAGCTTTGGCTTGGCTTCCTGGGGCGGTGACACATCTGGAATCTTTTCACCATGTTTGTACACACTGACAGTGACATCGATTTTTTCACCTCCATATTTGTTCTTGACACTGATGCTGTACTTCCCTGAGTCTTCAGAAGTGACACCTTTGATGGTCATGCTGACGTGTTTAGCCTGCTCCACCTTGACTGAAAAGTGATCACTGAGCTCAATGTCCCTGTCGTTCTTGAGCCAGACCACTTCAGGGTCAGGATTCCCAAACACTGTGCAGGTCAGGTTCAAGGTCTTGGAAAGGGAAAGAGTGGGCAGAGAAAGAGGAATTAGAAAAAGAGAAGTCATATTACCTCCCTGGATTTTATTAGCTCTCAGTCACATTGTTATATTTTATCAGTTCTTCACGCCAATTATTGAGTCAAGAAGTCCTTTATATGTACTAAGCACCATGCTAGATATGAAGTATCTGAGGAAGAAGACGACGCAAAGAAGTTCACAATTTCATAGAGGAGCGGACGAGAAAAACCAATGGTAATTTTTCTATTTATTCTCTGTTTTAGTCCATGGCCTAAGCTCATTAAAGAATTTTCTAAATGTTTCTAAATGTCCTTTATCTGTAGACCATGGATCCATTTTACCAGACCCTCTGGCAAATCCAGCAAATAAATCCTCTTATAACTAGTAAACTGGATAAACAAATGCATTCTTGACACTTTGTTAAAACATGCTTTCAGCCTGTGATAAAATGAAACTATTTCTAATTTCTCAGTTACATCTTTATTATGAGTTCCATGATTATTCAGTCTCAGGAGCTATCTAGACTTTCTTTAACTGCTTAAGAAAAGGTCTATAAATTTTTGTATTTTGGCCCTCATAAAACTCTCTCGAGTAGCTCTGTCCTAGTGACATGAAGTGAGAATCACAGAAGCAAGCAGAGAAGTACCAATTAGATATCAATAATTTCACTAACAAGCCAGCAAATTAAAACTCCAACAAGTGGTTTCCTTTACACACTCCAAAATAACCTTGAAAATTGAAAGAAGATTTTGTTTTTTCATTTTCTCGAAGTTATCGTATTTTGCACTTGAAGCAGTGTGCCTTACATTTTCATACAAGATCACTGGTGTGTGTGTGCGCGCACGTGTGCCTCACCTCATTCCTGTTAAGCTATTCCTCCGAATGGCCACAGAGCAGATGGATTAGACTTGGTGTGGCCCTGAGGACTGGAACAACAGCTACCACACTCCGTTTTGAGGTACGTGAGTTACACAACAGCTTTCCTGTGCTCTTAAAGGCGTTGTTCATGGATTCAGAATATTAATATATTACATCCTTTGCTAATACAAAAATGATCAGAGGCAGCACAGGATAACGCAGATGCAGAGACAGGAGAGCGGGTGAGGAGTTCTGAGTTCCCTGCAAGCTGAGGGACGTAGTGTACGCTCTCCAGGCTTCAAAATGAGGGGATTGTAGTACATTATGCTTAAACCCCACTCAGCCCTAACTTTTCATCCTGCTATGGAGCCCCGGTGGCGCAGTGGTTAAGAGCCCAGCTGCTAACCAAAAGGCCAGCAGTTCAAATTCACCAGCTGCTTCTTGGAAACCGTATGGGGCAGTTCTACTCTGTCCTATAGGGTCGATACGAGTCGGAATCAACTCCGCGGCAACAGGTTTGGTTTCCTGCTTTTATGGAATCCTCACCTTGCCTTCCATTATGGTCACCACGTCAGGTAAACCACCAACCACCTTGCCACGATCTGTAAAATCAAAGTGATTCAGTTGAGAAAACATGAATTGGGCTCCTCTATGGAGCTGGCGCTGAGCTAAGCACTATGTCTATACAGTGATGAATACAAAGGAGTTTGCACTCCCCTGGGCAAGGCCACAAAAGCAAATCTATGCAGTTGAGGAATATACCAAAAGCCAAAGGAACATGGATGAGGAAGTAATTCTATGCCTGGGGGTATCATATGGCATGTGAACTGGGCTTTGAGGATGAGTAAGAATTCTCCAAGGTTTAAAAGCAGGCAAAAGCCATGCCACATACATCTATGCTACATCAGGAAACGAGAAGAATCCTATGTGGCTGAAGTGCAGGATTTCTGCAAGGGTAGGTGGGGAATGGGAAGGAAAAGGAGGCCAGAGGAATTAGCAATGGGCTAAAGCTGGAAAGCGAGGTGGAGGCCAGGTGACACAGGATATGTTGCTGAAGAATTATGAGTATAGGCGTTAGAGGGTCATAAGGGTTCTCAAATTGGAGGTGAAAGGCTTACTGTTTATTATTTAACATACAAGATTAATACTTTAAAATATGGACCCTTTGCCCCACCTCAAATAATAAATTGTCCCTGCGATCATATAGCATTTACTTACTCTTCTCCGCAATAGCAGCTGCCCTAGAAATTAAAGGAGGCAGAGAGGAAAGAGAGAATTAAAGGAGGCAGACAGGGAGGAGAGAATTCAAAGAGAATATTGAGAAAATGGTAACATTTGAAAGATTTGCTAGAGATGAAAGCAAAAGAAAGAAAGAAATATGTTCGGTTTCTCTTAGAAGAAACACGTTTGGGTTACAAGACCTGAGAATATGTATCGGTATCATTTTCCTGATGCCTCCCACCACCCATTGTGAGAAGGGAAAACCCCTACCTTTCAGCTGCTAAAACCCAAAGAAATTCAAAAGCATAGGTTGGAAAGATTTTTTTCACCCAATTCATCAAATTACATTGAAGATCTTCAGATATTTTTTAAATTGTCAGTTTTTGATTTATCTTAGTCATTTGTTCACCCATTCAACCAATGTATTAAATATCTAATATGAGGCAAGAACTGTTCTCGCTTTTCGATACTGTAAAATTCAGATACACTTGAAAATCCCAAACTATTCTTCGAAAAGTTGCTCTGTATGCTGTGTTGCCATGATCACAACTATTTCATAAATCCATCATTTTAATCTTTTAAAGTATTCCTGGGTTATTATACCTCTAGAAAGTTAATTTATAAATGCATTTATAATTTAGAAGAATGTCTGCCCTTTTACATATCAAATTGTTTAAATTGCTATTTTTATTCCCAGTTCCTAGGAGCATCACATTCTTCGGATCCCCCAGGCATCTATAGATGCTCCCACACACAGCCAAAGTGACTCCAAAGCACCCAGATCCCCAGATTATACAAAAAGAATCAAATATGCCAATCTTACTTGAGTTGCTGGAATTCGGCAAATGCGGCATCAAAAACTGTAAGCAAATATTTCATATGTTATTAACTGTTTCAGTGTGCTCAGCTTTTTTCATTCACTCAGATGCTGTAAATAGTGCATTTGCTTACTGAAAACTCAGAAATTGCCTGATGAGGAAGTTGATTATTCCCAAATAATTTTCTCTGAATAAAAGTCATATGACATCATATTGTTTCTGGATATCCATCTTCCCGTTCAGCACTCTAAATAGATCACTAAATACAAAACAAATAGTTGCTAAAAAGGAGTCATCTTACCTTGTCCAGACAGGTCAAGCGTACGTTGATGGGTATCCTTGCCATCAAAAATCTGAAAAGTGTATTTCCCTTTATCCTTCTCAGCAGGCTCACAGATCTGCAGCCAGGCCATCTCTTTACTGCCGCCAATTCTCATATGATCACTCGATGCGATCTTAGCATCTCTTTGAAAAAGCAACAGGAACAGATTTCAGTTCAGAATTTCCATAGCACATGAAAGATACCTGTGGGGCAATGTTATAAATGTTTGCGTGGGAGTTTTTTCTAACTTGTTGCTAAGGTCACCATGGATTTTTTCTATTACTAATTTATTAACTACCTCAGTAACGCAGATTTGAAAATGTTTTAAAATTAAATATGATATTTAGTTTTTCAACCTACAGTATTACTTATCATCTGCTTGTCGGTCACAACAGAATGAGCTTAAAAACTGTCAACATGATTCCTGCCTTCTAAGCGGGCATGAGCTCTATACCACAGTTACAATATGTAAATCCAACCCGTTTATACCGGGCAAATGTATATAAATTACTGCCTAACGCTACTTTGATTTAGAGAGAGATGTGGAAGATTTGTAGAAATTATGGTCAGGGAAACATGAAGAACAAGACTTCAGGGGCAAATGGAAACTTGAATGTGAAGCTATTTCTCTCATGTACCATCTCCAAAAGAGAAAATGCTCAATAAAGTTTCCTGCTTTGGAGTTTTGCAGAGAACTGGCCGTTTGTAGGACTTATGGTATATTTCATTACCCTTGCAAATCACCAAATAGTCCTTAAGTTCAGTTAGGAAAAGGAATTTTCCAGTCCTCCTCACCATAATATCATTTTATTCCTTTTTTTTTTTTCATTCAACAAATTATTCAATAAGCCCGTGGTAAGCGCATGGAGTGCTGTGTTAAGTGCTCGGCCACTAGCTGAAAGGTCAGCAGTTTGAACCCACCCAGAGGCTCCTCAGAAGACAGGTCTGGTGATCTGCTTCTGAAAAGTCACAGCTTTGAAAGCCCTCTGGAGCAGCGCTGCTCTGCACACATGGGGCCATCATGAGTTGGAATCAGCTTGACAGCGACCAACAATAACAACAACAGCGGTAAACGCAAAGCTTTGTGCTACATTCTCTGGAGACACAAACAGCAATCCTTAGTGTAGTATACTTGTAATATGTGTTTCACAGATAATATTAACCTAGAATAGAAAGTGATGACTTTTATGGGAGCAAAACACAAAAATCAATGAAGTAAATGGTTAGGAGGAACCCTGGTGGTGCAGTGGGTAAGAGCTTGGCTGCTCTCCAAAAGATCAGCAGTTCAAATCCACCAGCCGCTCCTTGGAAACCCTACGGGGCAGTTCTTCTCTGACCTGTAGGGTCCTTATGAGTCAGAATCAACTCAGTGGCAATGGATTTGGTTTTTTTGTTTTGTTTGGTTTGTTTTGTTTAATGGTGAGGAAGGCAGGGGGAGTCTACAAAGGATTCATGGACGAGGTACCATGAGAGCTTGGTCTTGAAGGATGGTTAAGACATGAGCGTGTGAATATTAGAAGAGCATTTCTGATAGAAGGAAGCAAAGGCAGAGAGGCGGGAGAACATACTGAGTATCCAATGAGCAGCTCAGTCACTGCCCAACAGTGAGGCAGAACATGGAGGGGAAAGATCAGAGCTTTGAGGCCAAACACAGCTGGATTTCCATTCTGATTTCACTGAATTGACTTCAGTCGAGTAATTTAGCCTCTGATCCCCTCTGTTAAAAGAAGACATAATACCTACCTCCTAGGATTGTTTAGGAAATCGGTAAGATATGCCAACATTGGGGCCACTATCTGGCACAGAGTAGACATTCAAAACATGTTAGTTATCTCCCCTCATTTGCTGCTCCCCAAAAGACCATCACCAGTTGCTGTGGAGTCGATTCCCACTCTTGGCGACCTCATGTCTGTCAGACCAGAACTGTGCTCCATAGGGTTTTCAGTGGCTGATTTTTCGGAAGTAGATGGTCAGGCCTTTGTTCCAAGGTGACTCTGGGTGGACTCGAACCTCCCAGTCAGTAGCCGAGCACATTAACTATTTGCACGATGCAGGGACTTTTTCCCAAAAGAAAGGGAAGGGAAAATCAAACTGGATGATCTGTAAAGAATCTTTCAGACTTGAGACTCTTAAATCCTGAAAGTTGCTGACCCTGAAGTATCACTAAAGACGAGACCATGCAGCACAACATGTTCCTTTGCTAAATTGCTTTTTGTTCATCTTCAGCCATATGCCATGTGGTGAGCAGAAAGCAGTAAGAAAGAGAAGCAAGATCACATCCCACCCACCGTTGCAAAGTCAGGAGTCAATATCCCAGGCACTTAAGAACTCAGTGTTTGGTCAGATAGAACTGTGTTCAAATGCCAGTTCTGACTCTTGCCAACTGGTGCAACCTGAATCAGCCCAGGCTCTTCACCCGTGGGTGGGTGAGGGTAGTCGTGAGGGTTCAGTGCCACAAGCACACAGACACATAGTCATGGCCAAGCTGTCATACGTGTTCAACGCGAGATAGCTATTATTACAGTCATGAGTAGGCCATTCCAGCACTGAGGCCTACTCATGCCTGTCTACAAAAGGAAAATCAGACTCTAAATAGTGATTCTCAGTTCTTGCAGGAAAAAAAAAAAAAAAAACCCTTTCAAAGAAAATGTACTGTGCGGTGGATTGGGCAACCCATCCTAGGCCCTGAAATGCTTGGAATGGTGAGAATCACATCTGTGTAAACACCCAAATATCAACAGACAGCAACACACAATAGGAAAACCACAGCTTGATTAAGAAAGGCTTCTTTATCCCCTGTATGCACCTACGACTGGCTATTTGGATAGACCAGTCAGCAATTGTAGATCAGAAAGGAACTGAGCCTGCTGTAATGGTTTGTTGACTATCGTGCTACATTCAAGACAACATCAGTTCATCAAGCGGGTGCAGCCCCTTCGGAACAGAGTGAGAAAAGCTAATGACCCTTAGTCATCTTGTCACACTGTCTTTGTCTGAGTTGATGATGTAAGGGTTAGACTTCAGTGTCTCCAAGTTCAAATAGATATACACACACTCACACACATAACCATGTATTCCCAACAGGGCTGTTTCAGCTTCCTAAGCAAACAAGGACCTTCTGACAAGGCAGGGATTTCACTGTTAGCGACGACACTTTAACAAGGCCCTCAGTTCTGCCTGTCCGAATGAACTAGACCCTAGGAAGGAGACAACGCTGCACTCCCTCTCTGCAATGACTGGATATTGCTTTAGGATTTGTAATGTGCTCCCTGCTCTGCTGAGAAAGGGATGATTTCAATCATGCTTAGGGATTTGCGTTCTGCACTGCGTGCCATGCTTGGTGACAGCTGAAGAAAAAGAAAAAAAGATTGCCTGAGTTTGCTAAATTCAAGCTAAGGCTGGTCAGAGTTTCGTTGAGAGGGAGCGCCAATTACTGCGGTCCTCAATTATCCTACACACCACATGGTATATGAGTCTCAGAGCTGGAACAGGTTGTCTTGTTTATCTCCATTGATTCAAATATGTCTTGTCAAAGAGCTAAACAAGACACCAAGATTTCTGTGCTCTAGGTGTGCAGATCAAGATGCTCAAATCTCTGCCTTCTGTGTGAGAAAGAGAAAGAGAGAAAGAGGGAGGTAGAGAGAGAGAGAAAGAGAAAGAGAGGTTAGTATTTCTTCAGTGGGGAATGGCTGGAAATAGCCTTGAAATTTTTAGCTGTTGTATTAGGAGCCATGAAGAAAAGTCAATAGTTTCCATTTTATCAGCTAATACATAGCTTTATTCAAAAGGTGCAACTCATTTAGCCCCAATTCACCTTACAAATGCTCCTGGAAGTAGTGACAAATTCAGCCTTTGAGGTGTTTATGTTCAACTGAAATATGCCCCATTCTGATAGTGATCTGTTCCACTTACAAAATTTGCAACTTGCTTATAGAAAAGAAAAAGTAACAACA